AGAAGTAAGGAGTACCAACTCCCATAGTAGAATAGTTGAAAAGTGACATTCTGTAAGCAGTAAATAACAGCTCAAAACCTCCACAAAAACGCTGGAGTAGCTACTTGGATGAAATGAACTTAGCAGTTGTTGACGGTTTAAGTGTGGTACTAAACTGATCAGCAGCTCTAAAATCTAAAATAATTTTATTTAGTAAATATAACCTCGAAAAAGTCATCTATCCCACTAATATTTTTCGGTGCGTTCTTTAAAATTTACCCCGTAGTTATAGTGGCGGTACCCATCCATGAAGCACAACAATATCTGTTTAAATAAAAAAATACAAAACTTCATATGCGTGAGCTGTCATTTTCACCATGCTGCAACGAAAACATGGAATATAGAGGTAAGGAGGACAATCTCCTTTATGAGAATAGTTGAAAATGTGTCCATCTGTAAGCAGTAAATAACAGTTCAAACACTCTCCACAACAGCACTCGAGTAGCTACAGGTATGATAAATCGCCGTAAAATATATTGAGAGTGATTTTGAAAATAAAAATTTTGGAAGCAATAAAATAATTATTGTAAAAAGAATTATGGTGAAAGTCTGTGCAAAAAAATTATAAAAAGTTGTTTAAAATTTAGACTGCAGCTACAGTGGCGCCACCCTTAATTAGCGCTTTCCAACGGACACTTTTTTATACAGAGTCTGTACTCCTTACCTCTACACTCCATAAACGCAAAGACTATAGTGGAAGTGGATTCTACCGAATGTAGTATCCTCTTAGTAGCATAGTTTAATCTCTGCGACAGCTTTCAGTAAAAATCACGCCTATGAAGTCCTGAATTTCTTAGTAGTGCAGACAGTACCTGTCAATGTCATACTTTATGGGCATGCCGACCTAATTAGTGCATGCCCATAAAGTATGACATTGACAGGTACTGTCTGTACTACTAAGAAATTCGTAGACAGAGAAACCTATAGACTAATGATCGGCGTGGCCTCGAGTGAGAAAGGACGATAACGAATTTTTAGGTTATACAATAATCTTTATGACTTTTAAACACATTTAGATAAAAATTTTAACTGTTCTAAGAACTGAACTGAACAAGATTCACCAATCTTAAGCTCACAAAACACTTTTTTCTCACTTAAACCAACTTGTAAACTCCTTAAATCGCTACGCTGTTAAAGTTGTTTAGCAAACTGTAGAGTTTGCTAAACAAAAAAAACCGGCACGGAGAAAGGGACAAACAATCACACCGCTCTATTTCATTTCTATGCAAGACGTATGCATAAATCTATCTTTTTCGTGTGCGAATGCGAAAGAAGGCCTCAATTTGTCTATAGGTTTCTCTGTCTACGAAGAAATTAAGGACTTCATAGGCGTGATTTTTACTGACAGCTGTCGCAGAGATCAAGCTATCTTTTATGTACCATAGATTGGTAGTCTCCAAGCTGTTGGTTACCCAAAACATTTGACACCTAGAAGTAGTGATAGGACTCGAGTGAGATTTTTTATAATAATAATCTAGACACTCGAATGAAGATAAAACTCGAGTGACTTTTTTCTAAGAGATTTTATTGGAAGGGTTGAGGTGAAGAGGCTTGGTTATGAAACGATATTGGGAACTTTAGTTGATAAAAGTTAAAATGAGAATGGTGATAACCTCCTTACCGTATGTATGGAAAAGTATCTTTATGTAACCAACAATTTCTTTCGCCACAAGAGGATTCATATGTATACTTGGGAAAGAGGTGATGATAGAAGCATTATAGATTTCATAATTGTGGATAAAAGAATGAGGAGCGCAGTGGTACATATAGAGTGGTAGATACAAGGGTTTACCGGGGGTCCAACGTAGGAATGGATCATTATTTGGTTTTATGCCGAATCAATGGTCTATTCAGGCGTTGGCGCCTTCAGACATCTGTGTCTACCACTGCGTTACAGCGTATTAAAAAAAAAGGTTACAAGATGAAATTGAGAAAAACAAGTACAAATGTAGACTGAAAGAAAATATAAGTGGTTTGGATGAATTATTTTTAAATGAGATAGACTTGGAGAATGTATGGCAAAATGTTAAGAAAGGTGTAGTGGATGCAGCTACCGAAGTATGTGGTGTTAGTAAGAGAAAGAATGAAAGGAAAAATAATACGTTATGATGAGGTATGTATGGAAGTTGAAGCAAAGAAGACAGCATGGCTTGATTTACTAGCAACAAAGGCTGGTAATTCTGGCGGTACGAATGATGATATTGAAAGAAAAAAGGCAGTCTTCTTTTAGACATCTAAATAAGAGAGTAAAAGAAGTAGTTGAAAGGAAAAAGCAAGAAAGGACGGTTAAAAATGATAGAATAATATCGGATAACTTCCAGGAAAATATTTAAATATTCTGGAAACTCATAAGAAATGCCAAGGGAAATTCAAAACAGCCTATAATGAATGCTATAAGAGACGAGAATGGCTATATTCTGAATAATGAAGCTTTGAGTTTAAAGAGATGGAAGGAATATTTTGAAAGCATGTTTATGAGTGAGGACATGACGTATGAACTACATGAAATAGAAACTCCGAAAGAAGAGGAAAGAGGTAGCGAGATAAGTATAGATGAAATAACGAAAGCAATGAAAAGCATGAAAGCAGGTAAGGCTGCCAGATATAATACAGTTTCACACGAAATGCTAAGGGCTGGAGAGGAAGTGGTGGCAGGCTGCTGCACACCTTGTTTAATTTATGCTGGGAACTGAAGCGGGTACCGGTAGACTGGTGGAAAGCTATGATAGTCCCAGTATATAAGGGAAAAGGGTCGCAGCAGGACTATAAAAACTACCGTGGAATCAGCCTGCTTAGCATTGTGGGAAAACTGTATGCTAATGTACTAATTGAAAGGGTAATAAAAGAAACTGATGGAAAAATTTGGGATGTGCAAGCGGGATTTAGAAAGGGAATGGGGTGTACAGATCAAGTCTTTTCCATGCGCATGATCACGTAGAAGTTTTCGGCCAAAAACCAAAAGATTGCGTTTTGTTTTGATTTGTGCGTTTATGGACTTGGAAAAGGCCTATTACAGAGTGGACAGGGATGTGTTATGGCAAACACTGAACTCATTTGGGTTGAGCGCTGGGTTGATACAGACATTAAAGTCTCTTTATAGGGACTCTAGTGCTTGTCTTAGGATCAATGGGGTCTACTGGTATGGCATCCATAAAGTTGTCAGACAGGGGTGTGTGGCTTCCCCATGGCTGTTTAACCTATTTATGGACAGTTGTTTGGAAAATTCAAAAGTTGATGAATGCGGATTAAGAATGGGTGAGTTAACCGTCAAATGTCTTTTGTACGCCGATGATCAAGTTATTCTTGCGTAGTCGGCAACCGAATTGCAAATGATGGTGACATTAATGAACAGATCATTAAAAGAAAGGGTTATGAAATTGAACGCTAGTAAGACGAAAGTTTTGATTTTTGAAAGAGAAGAAAGTATGTGAAATAAGAATAGACGGGGAGTTGATCGAGCAAGTAGGTGAGTTTATATATTTGGGATGCTTGTTTGCAAGGATGGGAGATATGATAAGGATATAGAACGACGAGTGAAAACAGGAAATAGTCTAAATGGGGCCCTACACTCTATTGTGAAAAGTCGGAATTTGTCAAAAAAAAGCACTTATGGTGATTCACAATGCTGGGTTGCTACTTTAACGTATAGTAGTGAAAGCTGGGTGTGGCAGAAGAACCACGAGAGTATAATAAACGCAGTAGAAATGCGGTCGTTAAGGAGTATGTTAGGGCTGAAGAGATAAGAGAAGAGTGTGGTTTGCAAGATGATGTTGTGACCAGCATTAAGAAAGAAATGCTTCGGTGGTTTGGTCATGTGGAAAGAATGAATGAGGAAAGAGTGACAAAGAAAATGTATGTTGCAGAAGTGAACGGCAGAGTCGGAAAAGGACGTCCTAGGCGAAAGTTTATCGACTTAATTCGAGTTATATTGAAAACGGGCCAAATTAGGAGTACCCTTAACCGACGAGCATATATGCGTAGGTATATGGATGTGGAGGAAGCGAGAGAGGTGTGTCAGGATCGTGCCAAATGGAAGTCTGTAGTCTCTGCCTACCTCTCTGGGTGACAGGCGTGAGTGTTTATTTATTTTTATATTATGAATTTTTGCCACTCGAGTTACTTGCCTGTCAAAAACTAATAAAACCTTCGTTATCCACAATTTGTAAAGATTGTAAGTCTTGACAAATCATTTTGATTAGAGCTAATTTTTCTGTTTCTGCTTAGTAAGCGATGCATTAGGCCTTGCAAACCGTACTTGCTGAAAGCGCAGTTTCTTTAATGTAAAATTGGAATCGGCAGAGTAGAAGCAGAACTTTCACCTTTACTAGTTGAAGAACACGCATTAGATGAACTTGACTCATCTCTTATATCCTTCGGAATATTATGAGAAGTCAAGTTGGTATTGGTAGTATTCCCAAACTTTTTGTAACTTCTCGTACACAACTTACAAATAACTTTTTTGTTACATATTTTTGTCGTGAAACTACTACACTATACCTTTTTTGAACTCTCACTCATTTCGAACACGCACTAATGCCAAAAGTCTTAAATAAACATAATAATAAAAACAACTTACTCAAACAAATTTGTATGTACTTAATTTCAAATGGAAGATATATCGGATCGGCTAAATATGTCTTAACTTGAATTTCTCACTCGAGTCGGTATAGGTCACTCGAGTGGTTCGAGTCATTCGAGTTGACTCGAGTCACTCGTAATCCGATATTACTCGAGTGCGAGTAAAATAAAAGCTACTCGGACGACTCGAATGGAATTATGGAACACGGCCCGAGACACATCCTCCGATAGGAGTAATAGTGTTCTGTGGTCACATCACTACCTATTCGGTAAAAAGTTCGGTATTGGGTGTGTCTATGGGGTGTGTCTTGTATGGTTAAAATTTTTGAAATTAGTTTTTATTTAATTCTTGTATACATAAATGACTTTCATGTTTCCTCAAAATGAGAATTTTATCTAGTTTTGTATTATTATTGACTCTTTTAGGTAATGCCTAGATCTTAAAACATTAATCGTATATTAATAATCGTTAACTGAGAATGTAATTCTTGATCAGTTTAAATGTTTTTACATCTATTTGTTAAATAGATGAACAAAGCCAATGAGGATTCAAGATTACCCAACTAGTTTTATCGCTTCAAACGATAAATCATTCAAATATCTTTTATTTTTAGGATTAACAAGGGCAAGTTATTATTATGGAGATAATTTGTCTCAGTCAATATTACAAAAAGAAAAGGAAAAAAATCGTGTAATATGGTGCACCACTTCATTGTTGGAACAAGAAAAATGTGAAAAATTGACCAAAGCTGCTATGCTAGATAAAGGGCTTTTTGGAGATGATTATATTGAAGTTGCTTGTAAAAGAGTAAGTAAATAAGGACCAGAGTAGAGGCCGTGTTTTAAAGATCGTTCTTGCCTTTCTATCTATGAATGTGGCGTGGATATAATATTGACAGTGTTTAAAAATGTATGCTTTTTTTATTACTAAAAACTGAGCAATGAATGAATCTAAATATCATTGTATTATTTTTTGCTCAAGAATTTTATATTATACAGAAATTGTTTTAAAAACACTTCACAAATGGTAATCTCATAAAGAAATCTGATATGCTAGATCAAATTATTAAAAGATATTTTTCAAGAAAAAATATATGTCTACTAAAAATCTCTTGAATCAAACCTGAAATTATGGAGGGGACATTAGTAGAAGACAATGGAGTAAAGATCTCTCCAGAATGAATCAAAGCTTAGAAAAGCAAAACAAATTTTTGAGATACTTAAAGGCAGTGGTTTACAGAGGCAGTTGGACTTGTATTCGCCATTTGACTTCTATAATGAATAACTCCTAACACTAGCATTTAATATTAACTAGAGTGGTTAGTGAAAATATTAGTTATGTTAGTAGCACTGCAACTCTTTGCTGCCACTTTATATAGTCACCTCTTACAAAACATGTGGGACTAAATGGGATGAGTTATTGTCATATGCTTTCTCTACACAGCACCATGTCTAATAATATGTCTGTAGGAAGGTAGTTAAATAGAATTAATTTGCAATCACAAAATACACGGAGCACAGGTAATTAACCATAAATTGTTCTGAGACTAATTTAATAGCTGATAATAATACGTCAGTCACCTCAGTCCCCCGTGACTATGGGTGCTGGAAAGCACCCGAAATGTCGGGTATTAAAAATAACCTAAATAAACACGATAAAATCCATAAAAGTAGTTTGAATCAATAAATAATAATTAATTAATTTCCACAAATTAATTATCCGAATAGTCTAGGGTGAGCTAGTAGCGGGATACAACAAGTGAGCCACACCAGAGCCATGATTTCTTGCTCCGCCACTGTGCAGTCGTTTTATACCTGTTGTTGCAAAACAAGCCTAGTAGTAAGGCGGTGGGGGAAACAGAGAGACGCGCCGGGTGGCGCGATCGGTGCATGTGTTCTTTACAATTTTGCTGTATCAACGTACGACGGCTCTGCCATCATGCCATCGCTGACATGCGGATGTCCTCATATGCGGCGACAGAATTACTGTGGTTCTGAAATAATAAGCATCACTCGATTATCCTGACCAAAGTCATAAAGTTTTTATACATTCAGCAGTATGTTCTGGTATGGTCTATAATGACCCTGCAGATATTAACAATCAGATCTAGTCCGGTCTATATCTACCCTTCAGGCAATTAGTATTGGATCGGTTCCTTCGAACCCTGCAACACTAATCAGTTTTGGTCCGACAATATGCCCTTCAAAACTCTTTACGCTAGTCTGAAATTACTATTCCCTGTAGCTATATCATTGGACCCTTCAATGATAGCAAGAACCACTTTTTTGCTTACTTAATTTCTCTTCTTTTTCTTTTCTTTTTCAACTTTTTTGCGATTAAATTTTGATAGTAAGAACCACTTTTTTTCTCACTTTTCCTGTTTTTTTTTCTATTTTTTTTCTCTGCAGGAGTAATATAGTCCGACCAAACCACAATAATTCCCCATCACAATCACTCAGTAATGCAACGTGAGGGATGCAATAACAAAATAATACCAAAGTATGAAAACCAACAGCAACACCATAAATACTCTCCTGCATTAGAAGAACCACTTCAACGGCGGAACCACTACACTTTCATTCTACGAGTCCCAGCACATGACACCCACAGTGAACTCCACACTGCACAAACTATTGGGCTCCCGATATAACCTCAATTCTATGATACCACCAGAATATGACCACTCCTCCAGAATGATGCAACCTGTCTGTACTTAATAGACGCGCCGACACGGCCACCTCCGATTATCGCACGTTCTCGTACGGTTGGCACTAAGCCATTAGCATTTGCTCTATCAGTTATCACCACCTGCAAACAGATATTGATATCTGGTAAATATCTCAATGCTCGACCATCCCTGACTTCATTTAGATCGTAGATAGCAGACCGATCCAGGCACACAAGGCCCTTTCAATCAGTAATTGTTGTAGTGACTTCTACCAATACCTCGATAGCAAACCCCAATCTTATCGACTACACAGTGTTCGGAGTAAGCTGCTACACTTATCAACACAGAACACAAAAAGGCCACTTATTATTTTCAATTCATAGCAGGTCGAAGTTAATCCATTATTTTGTTACATCGCTTAAACATTTCGAACTTTAAAATGTAGCCCACGTAAATCATATTTCCCATGAACTATCAAACTATAACAAAATTCAAACAAGTAAATTTTTTGCTGAATGCAAGTTATAACTCATCTAGGAAGCTCCCAAAATTTCCTGACATTTGTCAACATATTTAGGTATGTTAAGAAATTACAAAATTACTTGCGGGTACTTTTAACATAAGTCAAAAATAAGAATTAACTTTTGGCTAAAATATGGCCACTTTAAAGTTTTACTCCATTTCATTAAACATTTAACATATAAACTGAGGCATTAACGCTAAGCGCATTATAGTCTTTCACAAACGTAATTACCATTTTACTAATTAAAAATTACATGCAAGCAATAATGGGGATTTTATCCCATAAAAATTAAATGTGAGCAATAATGGGGACTTTACCCCACTTCTGATGTAGGAAGGTTATTAAATAGAATTAATTTACAATTACAAAATACACAGCACAGGTAATTATCAACTATAAATTGTACTGAGACTAATTTAATAGCTGATAATAATAATTAATCGTTTCCACGAATCGGCGGCGCGATCGGTGCACGTGTTCTTTACAATTTCGCTGTACCGACATACGACTGCGCCGCCATCATGCCATCATGTCTTTATATTATACATATTGGCATAATATGTCACCATAATCGGTAGTAAAACATTTACATTGAAGATTCAAATTGCTTTAAAATAACTTTAGTCTATGATATGTAATGTATTACAAAGCAACTATCACTTTGATGTCTATGAAGTTAGTGTATAAGCCTGTAGGCGACTACTATATCCCAGAAGAAGCTCATTGCTAGATTCATAATATTGTCACATTACGAACAAATGAAGATGAACAAGTATATGTATTAGTCGTGTGCAGAAAGTTTGCCTAACACATTTACCTACATGCTTAAAATTTTATTCCTATTTCATCAGTTTGTAATTTATATCCAAATATAATTTACAAAAAACACGATTTCAAAAAAAATACCGAGCAAAGCTCGGTCATCCAGGTACTTGCTAATAGTTTTCAGCAACAGGTGTTATATTATTATTTTTTAATTTATTTAATGTGACATTACTTAAATCCATCTTAATCCTCACGAGTGACAACACATCTGCATTTTGATTCGTAATCGAGAATAGATGTAGATGTCTATAAGCCATATCAACCACTTACCATCAGGTAGACTGTGTGCTCATTTGTCACCCTTATATATAAACAAAAATCCAAATATCTTCATCATCAGAAAAACATTCTATGCATATTTATGTTCAAGAAACCAGAAAAACAAATGTTGTGCTTATGCCATCATAAAATAATAAATAAAATAGCCTTTTTTGTTGTTCAAACCTTTTTTAAAACATGCTTTGTTTTATTTCCCTTTCCTATGAGGTATTATTTATTCAGATGTCTCATCTACTCTTGGAATTAGGGTGTTCAAAGCAAATTGTGGAGGAATATTTTTAATTTTTAACGGACCAAAAAGTTTTTTTAATAATAAATATGGATAGGAATATTTTTAATTTTTAACAGACCAATAAAACTTTTTTTTTGTAAAATAATTTAGTTTTCGTGCTCTTTTTCTTACTTCTTTGGTCATAATTAATAATTATTATTTTATTATTATATATTATTTTCATCTCCTGCTTCATAACTTGAAAAGCCATATGGATTCTTCCTATTCACTCCTCTCTGGTTGATATTTTTGCACGCATGTAGATGAGCTCCTTGGTCCATCCCCAAATGAAAAAATCCACAGCAGTTAAATGAAGCGATCGATGTAGCCCGTCTTGGTCGCTCCACTTCTCTAGGAAATAATTATTTAAATGTTCTCGCATGTTTAGAGTTCAATGCGCTGGACAACCATCTTAAGGAAAGATCATTGGTCTTCTCGTTGCCAATATTGGTATTTCAGCCTCGTCCAGAAGCTCTGGATCATTTATGAAGAATTCTAGGTAATTATCTCCATTTAAATTATCTGGTAGGAAGTGGGGACCAATCAATGTTCAGCCCATTACTTCTACACACATGTGTACTGAAAATTTCCTTTGAAAAGACACTTGCTTCTTCCGGCGTGGATTGTTGTCCTTGTCAGCCCATTGATGGCGGTTATGAAAGTTGGTAATTCCTTCTTTCTAAATCTGACTCATCGGTTCACAAGATGGATTTTAAAAACCAAACATCTTCAGTGTCACTATTTAGCAAAAAGCGACAATCCTTCGTGGGGTATCTTTATTTTTCAAACCTTGTACACCCGTGCCGTAAAAAGGATACTTGTTTTCTCGGTGCATCGTATTCCATACCGACATGTTGAGATTTTGAGCTACTGCTCTGACGCTCGTAGCAGGATCTACATCGAAAGCTGCAATAATGTCTTCCTCGTCACTTGGGCCATTTCTTTCCGGATTGACTCCAGGTTTCGTGTGATGGATCCCAACTTCAGAAATCCGACGAAATGTGCTGTAAAACACTCATTTGGTATTCTTCGATTCGGATATCGCTGTTGGATGTACCGCCGTGCTAAAGCTCCATTACTGTCAGCTCTGCCATACATGAAGACAATATCAGCATATACTTCATTAGTAAGAGCAGTCGTAGTTGGTTGATCACACAAATAGTCGGAAAACAGTGAAGGGGCACACAGCTAGGGCTACGCTCAACTCAATAAAAAGGAACATCCAAAATAAACATGAATTCGCTATTCACAAAAACGTATAGTCATGAGGGCAGTTGATACTTGACTTACTGAGATTCTGAAGATGTGACGAACCCGCCCTACTACTCGAGTACTAATCCTAATTAGTGTGAATAAATAATAATAATAATTTATTTGATACAGACAACAAAGATCCATTACAAAATTAAATTTAAAGATTACACCTGAAATATTAATACTTATTATTGGTTAAGTAATCAAAATATTAAATATTATAATTTAGATATTAATAAAGTTGACCATCTATTAAAAATTTCACTAAAAGCACAAATATTACAAATAATTTTAATGAGATTATTCTGCGACCCACAAAGGGAACTTCTAAATCGCGCGAAACGGTGACGGATCAGCTTATCCAAACCAGCGACACAGGCCTCTGCGAACATCGGGGCGCACTACAGTATCGTGGCTGACGAAACAAAACGCAAATAATGACTTTATGTGATTTACTAAGCTGATTGTTCTATTGAATAAAAGTCTATTCGCTAGATGCTACCTAAGAGTCATAAACGGTCAAGTTTTTAATAGGTCTCGTCTTTTGCAAAACGAGTTCTTGGAAATTAATCCGTGCACGTCCACCGTAATTCTAAAAACTAATCAATTCTAAGGAAAACAATGAAAAATCGTGCATTATTTTGATCCATATAAAAATAAAAATATTCGTCCGCAATTTGCTTCGTAACTAAAATAACACCTCAAAAAACAGTGCAATGACTAAGCATGTTTTTAAAAAGTTTTGAACAAGAAAGGCGTTTTTTTATGATGGCATAAACACAACATTTCCTTTTTTTGGATTCTTAAATTTAAATATGCGTTGAATGTTTTTCTAATGATGAAGATACTTGTAAATTATTTTGTTTGGGGTTTGTAATAGTAACATAACAACTGTTACTGAACACTATTAGCAATTAAAAAATGGGTTTTATTGTTAAAAACCTTAAAAATTCAATTAAAAAAGGAGCAGACTTCGTCTAAGACAAGTTTAGCTTAAAATGTTCTAAATGGTTTAAGGTATCATCCCTTTCAGGCTTTGCACCCATCTTCCAAACAACCTGTATATTATTGGTAGTGATTTTCCAGATAATGTATTAATTTATGGATGTTTTGTATATATATTATTTTGAAGTGTTTTAGCAAAATCGAAACTTACACTTATTTAATTAGTAAAAGCAATTGATGCATCATAAAATTAAGCAATGTACTTGTACATTTGCATTTGGTATAGTGCTTAATGGATCATGAAATAATGAGTTTTCGAAATTATAAATAACCTAAATAATGAATTTTTGTTAATGTACCTATACCTTTCTTATATTTGGAGGTAATAACTATTAGGAAAGATAGATTAATTTTATTCACGATATCATTTTAGTGCATTGTTAAAACTAGATATATACGACATAATAAAAAAAAAACGTTCCCATTAACGCACTTAGAAATTAAAACAAAGATGTCACAAACCGCTTACGCGGCTGAGATCGGAAGTTGTAATTTGATCCCTGTAGTTTGTTAATGATTATGTTGTACTAGGACCGCCGTGAGACAAAACAAGTAATATTAAACAACTATCATTTTTTGCCAACGGTCACGCCGGTACAGGCGAATGATAAAGAATACAAAGAAAATATACTTTTGATCGGGGTTACGGCAGGATGTTACGAATTATATAAATCGATGTGTCAATTTTTTGAGACATAAACACGATATGTGATAATATTCTGCTTTTTATAGAATTTATTTAGACTTAGAAGGGCTCTTATGTAAGAATTTTTTTTTGCGCCCGAAGCAAATATGGGCAACCCTCCGGAAAGCGGGGGAGGGAGGCGGTGAATGCTCATAGCATACCACGCAGCCGGCTGCGTGGTTATGTAGAGACTTTTACCCACTAAACACCGCCTTTTAGGGACTGGCTTAGCGGTCTAACTGGAGATCTCTAAGCCGTATACGAACGCGACCTTCCTTGGCAGAAAGGAGGGCGCAGTATGTAAGGATAGTGTTAGTAATGTTTATATACTAATTCTCTCTCTCTCTCTCTCTCTCTCTCTCTCTCTCTCTCTCTCTCTCTCTCACAAAAAATCTACTCTCTCTCTCTCTCTCTCTCTCTCTCTGGTTTTACTGCGGTCTCATTTGAGTCTAAAACTCCAGCCACGCGAGGCCTTGCAAAAGAAAAGTATCGCAACAGCAATGGTTGCACGCACACTTTATTTTCAAAATTGAGGTATATTTAATTTACTGCCCACCGGAATAATTATTACAATCTAATTAGATATTAGAACTAAGGTGACTAATTCGAAGTTTGAATCTAGAATGAATTCACACGGTAAAATATCAGAACCAGGTAATATAACACAGTACGCACGTTATGCTGACGCGGCGCCTCGTGATTGTCGTAAACTGATGCAACGCTGCAGATTGCTTAGATTACGGCTGCGTAACATACTCACACTACAGTGTGATTTAAATAATCATGTTTATCCACTTAAAAATAAGAATACTATTTCAATGGCATTGGTTTTGTTTTACCTTTGTTAAGGTTTATTAAGGTTTAAATTGAAAAATATAGTTTAAATTTAAGAAAATAATAAAATTGTAAACAGCCATATACAACTTATAATATTTTTAGTAACTATTTTTTTAAACTGTATAATGAAATACAGTTTAAAAAAATATTGAATATTAAATATGAATTAATAGTTATATATGAAAATTTTAAAGGTTGCAGTCATGATAGGGGAATTAAAAGTATTTTAAAACAAAAACTTAGAGAATCAATTCAATTACGCATAGAATTTGATGATTGTTTAATAAATTTAAATACAGAGATAGAAAGTGTTTTTTTTTTTGTAAATTACAGTAAAACTTATAAGTATGATATAAGAATTTTAATATTTTAAAATAATGTACATTTTTTTGATTTTTACACCAAGTTTTGTTTCGTTGAAAAAAAAATATTTTTGTCATTCTATTTTTTTTCTTTTTTGCCGATGGGCGTATAGTGTATGTGTAGTGTATGCCCGTGTAGGTATATATATATGATAGCCTAATAAACATTGATAGAGTAATAAATCTACAGTCAAGACCACTAGACATATTATCATTTATTCCCGGAACATCCCAACATTACAGAGGGTCTGGTGACCAACTAATGGCAGAAAATTCATCTTGGAGTTTTTTACAACATAACCAATTTTATGTATATATTACATTTATTTTGAAGATTTGAAGCAACTCTTTCTGTTACAGGCCTTTGATGCAGAAGATTGCATGACATGGGTAGATCAAGGAGAAGCATCTTTCTTGGCCTTAGATGCCGGTGAAGTATATATTGCAGGAAGATATCACTCACTTGTTCCTATCGCTCAAGAGGTATTTACACATTCGTATCCGATATCCATCCATGTTAAGCATAACTGAACAGTAAAGGTATCCCCATTGTGTTTTTCGCTGGTTCTTCACAGTACAGATGTATTTTCCAAACCAGTGGTTTTACCAAGTAATAGTGGCTAACTGCCAATGGATTCTGCCAGCATCAAGTATTTAATTAAAGTCACACAGACTTTCATGAAATACTTCATGAACCATGTAGTGGCAGTGTGAGAATATCCTCTACCCCATATCATCCCAAAGGCGACACAGAAATAAACCAGGAGATGAGCAGCAGCAGCAGTTGCCAACCCTCCTGCCAGGCGTGGCAGCTATGGCAAATATCCCTCCTATAAGCAATCTATGGGGAGGGGTCTATGTTCACCAGAGAGTATGGAGTGTAGAAGTAAGGAGTACCAACTCCCATAGTAGAATAGTTGAAAAAATGGTCATCTGTAAGCAGTAGATTACAGCTCAAAAACTCTCCACCACAGCGCTGGAGTAGCTACTGGGATGAAATGAACTTAGCAGTTGTCGACGGTTTAAGTGTGCTGCTAAACTGATCAGTAGGTCTAAAATCTAAAATAATTTTATTTAGTAAATATAACCTCGAAAAAGTCGGCTATCCCGCTAATGTTTTTCGGCACGTTCTTTAAAATTTACACCGTAGCTACAGTGGCGCCACCCTTATTTAAAGGTTTATAAGGACACTTTTTAATACACAGTCTGTACTCCTTACTTCTACACTCCATACCAGAGAGCTTTGGTAGGCTGTACCGGTAATGGTAAGGCAGACTAAACTTAGCTACAAGGTTTCCGTATATGGGCTTACTTCACTCTATGTTAGATTCGTAGGACAGGGAAAGTTACTAGGAAGAAAATTATATATATTTCATAAAAGATAGCTTGATCTCTGCGACAGCTGTCAGTAAAATCACGCCTATGAAGTCCTGAATTTCTTAGTAGTACAGACAGTACCTGTCAATGTCATACTTTATGGGCGTGCACTAATTAGGTCGGCATGCCCATAAAGTATGAACAGTACTGTCTGTACTACTAAGAAATTCGACTTCATAGGCGTGATTTTACTGACAGCTGTCGCAGAGATCAAGCTATCTTTTATGAACCATAGTGAATATGAGAAGTTAGGGCAGTTACAAAATTTATGATTGTTTTCTTTTTATAAACCAGTGGTAAATAAAAAAATACTTTCAAGTAGGTGTTATGTAGTAATTTAAAAAAATATTTTATTCTACTGACTCAACTTTCTTTCAACATATGGAGAATTGTAAAGCTATGCAAATGAATTTAAATGAAAAGATAGTAGAACATATGCAAACTTTTATTTTTCCTTTTTTGTTATTTAATAGGTAATGTATAAAACTAAAGAATTTTATCATATTTAAACAAACCCCAAATATTTGACATCCTGATGTCATAGTTAACTTGAATTACCTGCAGCCTTTAGCGTTTTTTAACCTTATACCTTTTCAGTAACATTCACCTGCCTATTCATATCCCATAAGAATCCAGGAAAGTATAAGCAATTATAAACAGAAGATGCACCTCCTCTCATTAAAAAATCATCTCCCTAATATTTGGACTTTTGAATGTGCAATCTCCAAATATCTCGAGACTGAAAAATCCTGCTTTAAGTAACCGTTTTTTTTTTTCTGATAGATATGCAAATTAAATGATTATGTGGAGCTCAGTTTTCGGCTTGAGGCAGTTATTTCGCAATAACATTTGTTATTAGCATCTGAGATGCATTCAACCCATCTTTTTAGATTTTCTAGGCATTTAACAACAAAAGTTTGGATAATATTGCATATAGATATTATATATAGGTGTTGTGTTTGCATTTGCAAAGTGATCAGTTGAAGACTAGTTTGTTTTAACATTGAAGTGATACTGCAGATGTAGGCGCATTACTTGTCTTTCTAGAGAACTTTAATGATTAAATCAAGATGGATTTTCCTCTGCTAAAAAACCAAACAATTTATTTCTAATATGCTTTAGTCTCTCTCGGTTAGTTAATACAGACCAGACTCTAGTGCCTGATTTTATATTTTACAGAGCAAATTGTTTGTTCTCTGTTGATTACTGATCCAGAAATTTATAAATCCATTTCCTCACCCTTAGGAACTACAGACCACTGTGTAATTAAATAGGTGTCATAATACTACCAAATTGAATATAATATTAAGGATAAAAGATGGTTATATTGTTAGAAGAAAACATACTTAATTATCCCTCTAATTCATATTAACCTATCACTCACTGCGCCCGCCGTAACTAAAAACAGCTTTGTACCGAGGCATCCGTCGTCACCTCACCTGGCGGCACTTGTTTTAAATATTTATGTTTCTCACGACCTTTCATTTATGTTTAAAGAGGTTTTAGTTACAGTTATTTAAAGCCGATAAGATTTTCGATAAATAGAAACAATAACCATAACATATAAATGTTTATGTTATTTTGTACAGCTACAGCTCTTTGTTTCTAACGGATGTGTACTTACTGACGATAAATTTTATATTATGAATGAAATATCGTAAGTTTTTATTTTATTTTTATGTCCTTACAATCAATACAACATATTCTTCCTAAATGAATCGAAATTATGCATGTAATAATTATAATAATTCTACTTTTTCACTTGCAAACATTTGCTAAAAATTCGACAATAGACAGTTTGAGCGCGCTTACTAAACTCATTTTCAAAACCTTTTTGTGTATATATTTTATATCGTCTTTCTTTATTTTTCTTATAAAATCATATAGATATAACATTTAGCAATTACTAGTAAAAGTATTTACTATGGTATTCCAATAAGAAATATACTATTATTATCTTATTAGAATCTTATTAGAAATCTTGACTATTACGAATTGTTCGCGTAGAGGTTTTTTATTTCTACTTTTTATCAATTGAAACATAAAAAGTTACTGTTGTTGTAACTTAAATCATTCAAAAACATTACGTAGTAAAGATAAATAACATTACTTACAGTTTTTTTGAAAGAAAACCCAACTAAAATCACAATCACAAAACTTCAACAATTACACAAACAACCTCACCGGCACGCAAAAGCGAATGGCTGTTATATTTGATGATGTCTATGTAACCGAATGAATATAATGCTACAGAATATTCTTTAGTTCGTTCAGAATCGAATGAAATAGTGTTCAATCGAAAATATACTGTATTTTTATATCAATTAATGACGAAAATAGCAGCACGTAATGCGGACATTTATACATGTCCTCTGTACTTAGCGGTCACAAAACTTGGACCTGTCAACATGTCCACGGTATCTTAGGGGTAAGGCTCAAAACACAATAATCTTTGTTGTAAAAAATTTCTACCGCCTTTCGCGGCTGTTTGAAAGTCACCAATGAATTTGGTGAAATATATCTTTTTTTATAGGATAGGGTGACAAACGAGCACACAGTCCACTTGATGGTAAGTGGTTGCTGCGGCCCATAGACATCTACATATATCCTCGATTGCGAATCAAAATGCAGATGCGTTGTCACCCGTGAGGACTAAGATGGAATGCTTGGTTTCCAGTAAAAAGGGTCTCCGGTTCTCTACACTCACCATACGAAACACAGCAGCATTAAGCTACTATTTTACGCTGGTATTCTGTGAGAGCGTGGTCCTTCCCCGGTAGAGCCGACCCATTCGTGCTACAATTTTACTACTAATATAACTGCAGCATGGCTGTACTACTTTTTAATCTTTCAGATGAACTCATTTATACACATTAAAGGATTCATTACGTGCATAGCTATCTGATAATAGTTATAAAATACCACTGAAATTACTAAATTAATACTTGTTTTCAGTTATATGGCAATGGGGAGCCTTACCAGTATTCAGTTGCAGTAGTAAAAAAGGGGGGTCTACCATCTGTACAACAAAGCACTGGCCTCTATGGGATGCGTGGTGCAAAGGCGTGTTTTCCTAGTGTTGGAGCTTTAGCTGGCTGGGTTATGCCGGTTCATATTGTAAGTGCAAAAAATTAACATATTTATTTTACATTAAATGTAATTTAAATAAAAAGGATCATCTTAAAGTTAAAGTTACAGCCTATATACGTCCCACTACTGGGCACAGGCCTCCCCTCATTTCTGAGAGGGTTTTTAGGGTAAGAAAATGTCCGCCGCGCTGCCCCTATATGTGTTGGCGAACTTCACATGTCTTGGATTTTTTTTTTCTTATTTCTCAGACATGCAGGTTTCTCCACGATGTTTTCCTTCACCGCCGAGCACGTGGTAAGTCAGCACTTAAAATTGCAATTAACAATTTCATTGGTGCCGGCGGGGATCGAACCCGGAACGCCCACGTACTGTGAAATTTACAGCGAGCGCTAACCATCTGAGCTACCACGGCTCATCTATTCATTAACATTTCTAAAGTCCTGATTCTATTAAGCAACATTCACTTTAGCCTGCAAAAATGCATAGTTGTTAAAAATAGCTGCTTTCATTTGAATTAATTAAAAATAAGTGGCACCATTATAGAAAGTAGTTGGGTAGTGGCAGTGTAAAAAAAATTTTATACCTCTATATCATCCCGTTTGTGTCGTAAGAGGCGAATGGAAGGAAATGAAACATAATCTGGGCAGCAGGATCTTCCTAATAACAACTTGAAAGTAATCAATTTCATTTTGTTGACAACAGAAATCCATCTTATGAGGCAATCCAGATGAAGACCTATGTTCAGTTTGACTTTTGATAGGCCATAATGAATGATTAAAAGTGTCACCAATTGCACCTTTATGTTTTTGAAGTGAAAACTTCTTTAGCGGCGTTGTACACTTCTTTTGTAATGGTTAAAAAATGTTAAACTCGCGTCGGGACACGTGACCCTGATCGAAAATTCGTAAGACGTCGTCGAAATTATGTATGGAAGTTGATTTTTTCTGAGAAATAAACTTTTAATGTAACATATATTTGTCGTGTTTGTGTACAATAGCACAATAAATAAATATTGTATTCTACCACATAAATGATAGTACTTTTATATTGATAAAGCAATTCGTGCAAAATTATTCCATAACCATTCCAAAATATCAAAAATGCACAACGTTAATATTCAACTTTTCACTTCTGCCGGCACTCCCGGAGTGCAACCTGTCGTTTTTTTTTTATAAAATAGAGTTCTCAACAACTTTTAAATGTAGTTTACCTTTTTTTATAGGATAGGGTGACAAACGAACACACAGTCCACCTGATGGTAAGTGGTTGCTGTGGCCCATAGACATCTACATCTATCCTCGATTACGAATCAAAATGCAGATGCGTTGTCACCCGTGAGGACTAAGATGGAATGCCTCGTTTCCAGTAAAAAGCGTCTCCGGTTCTCTACACTCACCATACGAAACACAGCAGCATTAAGCTAATATTTTACGCTGGTATTCTGAGAGCGTAGTCCTTTCCCGGTCGAGCCGACCCATTCGTGCTACAACTATACTTCTAACATAACTGCAGCATGGCTAAACCTCAAATGACTTATAAGATTTCGATGATATTTGAATATTATATACCTGACTCTTGAATTGCTTTGAATGTCACAAAAGTTTAAAATAAGTTTCATAGTGTAGGGAGGGTAAAAGACAATTTTGTTTCCAGTTGATGAAAGAAGGCGGGTTGAAAATCACAGACTGCAACAATCATGTGAAGTCAGCTGTGGAATATTTCGGAGATTCCTGTGCACCAAACTCCTTGAAAGATATTTACAATCCCATAGGCGATAACCCTGATAAGTAAGAATATTTTACCAATTATTATTTTTTAATTACTTTAGTAATTTTTGTGGCATCTTTTCAAACAGAAATAATATTATATCTAAGTGAAGTTCACATAAAGTGCCATGGAAATCTTTCCTTCTGTAGGAAGATTTATAATAAGGGTCTTTTTATTACTTGCCTATCATTACTCAGAGAGTACATAAGATGAAAGTATGACACATATGTTGCCTTAAGTGTTTACCCATACACATGCGTTTTTAGCATATTTGTATCAATACAAATGCTAAAATCAATTAAAACTTTGCGGCGCACTCGACTGCGCCAGAAAAAGTCATGTTGTACAATGAAGTCCTTAAGGTGACTCTAGTCGACATTATTTCCATATAAATTTCGGAGGGCTTTTTACTCCGCTGTTTGACAGTGTACATCCAAAGTTAAACATGATATCGTTTTGTCTCATTATTAATTTTGTCTGTACCGAAACAGAATAGTAAAATAAAAAGTCAGTAAAAAGTTACGAGCTACCAAAGATTCGTTTTTATTGCCAATTTTAACACAACTTTGGGCGCAAATTTGTAATAAAAGCAGTGTAAAATTTCCAAAACAAAGTCGGTACCGACACAGCTCAATTATCGAAGAATTCAATAAATTTTATTGGTAATTGATTCATGCAGTGGGTTTTTCATAAAACCCCTCCTTCCAAAGGCCTTTTCGTATTTTTTTTACGCGCGCGTGTTTATATGAATTATCGTGCATCTCACTGAATAATTTTTCCCTCGGTGCGGTGCGGGAGGACGACACTTACACACACATGCATGCGCGGTGACGCGCGCTTATTCTAGTTTTATTCGACGTCATTGTCAGCTGCGGCCTGTGACGTTCGTATGATTATAGCTATACCTGCGCTTTAAATTACTACGCTACATTGACCCCTGCTTGAACTTTGGATTAAATCAAATTGCTATAAGCACAGACAAAAATAGAGGAATATATAAATAAAATTTTGAAAAAAAAACGATCTCAAAATTTTATTAATGTTCCGCTAATTTTATCTGTACTTACCTATGTCAATTTGATTTACATTCGATTATAATTATATTCTCAGACGTGCAGGTTTCCTCAATATGTTTTCCTTCACCGCCGAGCACGTGGTAAATCAGCACAATTGCAATTAACAATTTCATTGATACTGGCGGGGATCGAACTCGGGTATGCATGTCTGAGAAATTAAAAAAATATATATTTCGAAGAAATGTGAAATTCGTCAACACGCATTGAGGCAGCGTGGCGGACATTTCCTTGCCTTAAAACCCTCTCAGAAATTAGAGGAGGCCTGTGCCCAGCAGTGAGACGTATATAGGCTGTAACTTTACTTTTTTTTACTTTTATAAATATGATATTTTACCGACGAAAATTTTAAAGAAAAATAAAAAATAAGCAACCGACAACCTCCTAGGTCCCTAGGTGACTTGCGAGATGTCAGTGTAACAAAACAAAACGGCCCAGAAAAACAGACTTTCCAACTGATAGCTAAATCAGCACGCAACAATTTCATTGGTGCCAGTGGGGATCGAACCCGGGTTGCTCCCGTACTGTGATACCTATAACGAGCGCTAACCATGTGAGCTACCACGGCTCTCAACGACATCGTTCCGTTCGTGTACAGCGCTGAAGATAGCAGAGTAAAAAATTAGAGATTGTGGTGTTTGAAATTTTAAAAAATGTGTTTTTGTTACTAGTACTTTCATATGCATTTAATAAAAAGCTGTTATTTTAACATTACAAACAAACACTTAAATTTTATTTATTTGTAGATATAGATATAAGATATTATTCATATTGGTGTCATTTTAAAGGGAATATCATGTACTATTATAATAATAAAATAATTCTCTCTAGTAAATATTATGCTTTTCTTGTAAAACTCGAAATAACAAATAAATACGATTTCTTAAATTTACGCGAACACTACACATTGAATAAAACTATTATTTACGGATTTTATCGCGTTTAATTACTTTAATTTATTTTTATTATTATCCCGACGTTTCGGGTGCTTTACAGCGCCCATGGTCCCCCCCGTGACCATGGGCGCTGTAAAGCACCCGAAACGTCGGGATAATAATAAAAATAAATTAAAGTAATTAAACGCGATAAAATCCGTAAATAATAGTTTTATTCAAATAAATACTATTTATTTTTATATTCCCATATGCTTTATTTTCATCCTTTATTTTTTATTTGACCAATTTTCTTTTAACAAAATTAAATTCTGAATTGGTTGAGCTTTTTGAGAATATTTTTATTTGAATGTTAGGTAGGTACCTATTTAGTTTTTCAGTAGTAATCGTTTTTGCCTACCTACTACTACCTGCCTAAGTACGTCGGTACTAAGGAAACAGTATTGACGGGTCACTTGTCTTGATAAAAACATGTGTTTACATCTAGTGATATTGTGTGTATATAAAAAAAAAGTAAGAAGACAGGTAAGTATTTTTGAAAACAATTTATAGGTAGGCAGAACTAATTACAATTATTATCTAAATATTATAAATGCGAAAGTTTGGATGGATAGATGTATGTTACTCAATCACGCCAGAACAGCTGAAGGGATCTGGATGATATTTAGCTCAGAGATAGGTTATACCTGGTCTGGAATAACACATTTTTTTATACCGTTTATTCAGGTATTTCGTTCCTGTGGGATAATTTTCGAGTTCACGCGTTTGAAGCCGCTGGCAACAGCTAGTACGGATATAAATTGCGATGACTGTTCCAGTTCATGCTTCGGCGTCGTGAACTCTTGAGTGATCGCTGCATGACCACCCGGGGAAAACAAAACATAATAAAATAAGCAATCTATATTAGGTATCTATAGAGCCATAGAGGTATAGTATAAAGCGATAACGTAGCGCAGTGCCTAATAATTTAGTACGAGTTTGTAGGTATGTACTGCTGATTTCTTAGCAAGCGTCGAGCGGCACAGAATAGGGTGGTATGTATGTGTGCATCGTGTTCGTGTAACTTCGTTTTTGTTCTAACGGTTCGGAACGCCGTACGAACAAGACGTGCGTTCTAACTGCTCTTCACTGGTACTATCTCTGTCGGGCACGATGCCAGGTGAGACAACGTGCTTTTTGGCCGCGCCCACCAATGAGTTCGAGCCCGCGACTTGAGCCACCTTAATCATCTAAACCATTGCCATGGACAAAGACTGTTGAATTTGTTTTAACTAAAAACATTACTTACGTTATATATTAGTAGTACTATTACTTACTATTTTGCAGATACTTTACTTGACTGGTTTTTGTATTTTCTGATTACTCGATTGTTACAGGGTCTGTAAAGTTCCTGTTGCAGATAATTATGGTTCGAACAACTCAATGTACACAAACGTAGATACGATACGAGAGTACAGCAAAAATAGAACAGTACAAAATAGAATTTAAAATGCTAACATTAATAAATTTTAATTGAGTATTAATTATCTTTATACCTGTCTCTTTCCAATCAGTGGCGAAGCTAGGGCTCCAAACTAGGGCAAGCCCAAGATATGGTTTTGTTGTTTTTAGCAGTTTAATAAAAATACACCAATCTTGAGCTGTTTCCACTCTTTAGTTTCATATTCAGTGCTGACAAGGACGTGTTTAATAAAACACACAGAAAGCATACTACCGCTAGATAGATTGTATGACATAATATGCAAATGCACACCTTCGGTGGTTTTGAAAAGAGCCGTTTGGGTTTGCTTGAGATATTTACAAACAATAAAATACATGAACAAAAGAAAAGCATGAGCAAAGTACAAACAAACTATGTACAAAGTTAAAAAAAGGGACACCTGGCAGATGTGAAACATCGAAATTATATTTTGTTTAAGTTATATGCATAAAAGAACAGATTACGACAGGAATTAGATAGTTATAATGAGAAGATAAAGCTTTGCTAATTTTTTACCATAAAATAATGACTATTTATTATAATTATAATTATTCATTTTCAATTCATAATAAACCGTACAAAATGATATTTTTAAACTCATATATCACTATAAATTAGCCGATAGCGTATTTGTGCCATCTAGCGTAATCTTTAGATACCATCGTGAGAATCAACCAATTTTCGTTCGATAAAATGACTTTACCTATAGAATTAAGTAGATGGCGCCATTAAAATTTTATATAATGAAAAGTAGACAGAGAAACCTAACTGCAAATAACTAAAGGGAGTACTATTCTTTAAAAACCTTAATACATTCTCCTGTATTCTTTTAATTTGTTTAATTAAAATTTGGGCTTCACGTTAAAAAAAAGATTGTAACACTTATTTCCTCTAAAATTAAACCTAGGTCTCTTACTTTATGCTGCTGTTCAAATTGATATTTTTAATTCGTATGGTAATATAAATATTGAGTTATTAAACCTTTAAATACGCCCAACTTAATTAAACTTTAATACTAAAGAGTCCCGTACCTATATTTAAAGTATGAAGAAATGTGTATTGAATATTAAATTTCATTTTTAAAGATTTTTACCTTTTTCTCACCGATTAGCACTTCAACACACTTATATTCATCACAGTGGCCACTATTATCCTCCCATTTTCACTGATTATCTTCGAAAAAGCATATATATTTAACAAACACAACAAAAACAAACATAAACATTGAAATGTGAAGTGAACTTGCATACGAGGGGCCCGCAACCACTTCGCTAGTCGCTAACGCACTCCTAAACAACTTCATGGCAAAGTCAGGCTTGTTGGCTCAATAGTAATTGCTATATAAACATTTCGAAGTTTTATTTAATTATAGAATATTTTGCCATAGGTTAGAAAGAGAGCGATCGTCTTCTCGAAAGCCCCGTAAAAAGCCCACGCGAGCAAGGGAGACAACTAGTCGCTCTATTAAAACTCACTTTTTATGACAGCAGCAGTATCGCTTTATACAAAGGTACTCTGTGAGTATCGCTAAGGCAATACGAGGTCATCGGTCGACATGTGTCGAACAGTGGAGTGCGCGGGAAAATTGAAATAATTTGTAACAGTTTATGAGTTATTTTATTAGTTGATATTATTGATTGATTCAGTTTTAATAAGGCAAGCCCGGCTTTTCGGCTTTAATGGAGTTCGCCACTGCTTTACATTGTCATTTAGTTGAAAGAGAGAGAGAGTAACTTAGAGCATTACTTAAATAATAATAATGTTTATTGATAAACAAAACATGGTACACACTTATTATCTAATCTTAAGATTAAAGTTTCGGTTAGAACAAATATTTTTAAAACAATAGATACTTACTTACTTCCGTTGGCGCTACAACCCTTTGTGGGTCTTGGCCTCCTCCACAATCTTTCTCCAGTTGTCACACTGCCTGGCTACCTTCTTCCAGCTGGTAAACTTTCCCATCTTCCTGAGATCTTATTCCACACAGTGACTCCAACGATTTTTAGACCTGCCTCTCGGTCTCTTTTGTTGCGGCGTCCACTTTGTCATTATTTTTACGGCTCTAGTGTCCGGCATTCTTTCAAGGTGACCCGCCCACCTCAGTCGCTGCGACTTACAGAACCTGACGATGTTCTCGTGCCCGATAAGTGCGTCCAGTTCATGGTTTATGCGTTGACGATAGATACCGTCACGCTCTTTGATGGGGCCATAGATTTTTCTCAGCACTTTCCTTTCGAACACGGCAAGCTTCAGTTCGTCTCTCTGGGTTAAAGTCCAGGTTTCACAGGCATAAGTCACAACAGGCCTGATGATGGTGTAGTAGATGGTGAGTTTCGATTTCACACTAAGCAGCTTAGAACCCAGGAGTTTGGCACACGCGTAATAACATTTGTGCCCAGCAACTATCCGTGCCTTAATCTCTTTGTCAGATCTATTTTGGGAGGTAATCGTTGCTCCTAGATACTTGAAGCTGCTCACGCCTTTTATGGTTTGATTGCCAACATTAACGTTTTGTGGCTGTCCAGGTTGTCTAGCTGTTGCAAGGTACTCAGTCTTGGATGCATTTACACGCAGTCCAAAAGTCGCAGCTTCGGTCTCCAGCATTAGACAGTGGTCGATCATCCTGTTTCTTGACCTGCTGGTAATAACAATATCATCGGCAAAACAATAGATACGTGGATGCATAAGATGTTGTTTCATTAGAACAAGAAACAAGTTTCACCACTAAAACTGTGAACATTTAATAAGAATATAATTTATGTTGTGTATTTAATAGTACAGAAAATTGAAATTTTAATTTTAATTAAATAAATCTTAATATTTGGAAAATATAATTGTTGATTTTGTTAACAGACTTAATTTGTATGATTCAAGAAAATGCAGCACTAATGATTAACCAAGAAAATTTTCACATTTTCTAGATTATGTAGACTCTGTGCTGGTGGACCAGGCACACGGTGTACATTGGCAGACCCATATGCTGGGTATGAAGGTGCACTCAAGTGCCTTGTAGCAAACGGCACTGGTGATATCGCCTTCGTAAGAGACACAACAATACAGCATGCATTGTTGTCACACAAAATATTAGGTAAGTGATATTGATATTGAAATATTGGTGGCGTGTTGGCGTTGTAAGATGATCCACTACCCCATATCATCATGCATAATGTGACATACGAGTATAAGGGCTTTTAGTAATAGCCTGAAGTGATTAAATCCATGTTATATGAATTGTCTGACTGTAATATCGAAAACACTGCATTTTATTGAGCTGAGGTTATTTGCATTCCTTAAAAAGATGAGTAATCATTTTTAAAATTTTGTTTCTCTGTCCAGGCTAATCTTTAGAATAGTTAAACCAATTGTAATGAAACTTCTCTGGAAATCTTGGACAATTTATTTCTTTCGAGAAGTCGAAAAATCGATTAACTAAATAGTCTTTGATGTCTTAAATCTTAAGAGCCCTCTTACATTTCGGCGTTACGGAAATTTTAGTATTTTACGCAACGAGCGGTCGGCGAACTACGCGAGGACACGTTCTTTCATATCTGTTCACTCGCTCGCACTATGATACTGTGAGTTCTGTATATGATCTTCCATAATACAAGTTTTTTAGGATGGAGTTCAATGGTTGGAAAATTTATGTGTGTCATTTTTATGTTATCTAATTAATTTATTATAATCTATTTTGATATATTTTTCATTATTTATGAACCTTAGTGTTGAAATAAGTACACATAAATATTTTAATTGTTACGCAGTAATCAATTGTTAACTGATGTTCGTTAAGGGGATTAAGAAGTGCCGATACGCGGTGCGAGTTGGTATTTTCAAAAATGCTATGCTATCTGTTTTATATCGCTCGTTTTGCCTCCCTCCGGGCGTGAACAACACAAATACATTTGGAAGAACGAAGACATCACTGACGCCAAAAAAAGTAAAAACATAAAAAATGACGAAAAACAGTGCCAATCATGTTTTTGAGAAAAAAAAGAGGAGTTTTTGACTTCTTTGCAGAAAAACGAGGACGAAGTAAAAGAATTAGAATTGGCTACTAGAGATCAAAAAGACAACGATTTGTGGCACACTGAACGGAGAAAGAGTGTAACTGTATATAAATTTGGAAAAATTCGCAAACTGCGCCCAAATAATTCGTGTTTGTCTACACTAAAAGAGTTACGGTATACTCATTTCAAAGGAAATACGGCAACCGAATATGGAAACCAACACGAATCGGAAACCATACCAGAATTTTCCACAACTCCAATCTAAAAGTTTCGGTGTGTGCACTTTTGTCGTTTATTGAATAAGATGATTATTGTTTGAGTACAACTCCCGATGGACTTATCTCTAATTGAAGTCAAATGTTAGGACATTTCTGCTTCTAATATTCCACCTGTGGAGGCCATAACTCAAAAAAAGAACAAATTTTGTTTGATACGAGGACAGATGATTTTAAAAAGAAATCATAATTACTATTATCAGGTCCAGAGGAAATTACATATGTATCACTGATAGGCAATTTTGTTTTTTCCTAGTATGGACGCCACATGTTTTGTCGTATGAAAAAATTAACTACGATGACCACGTTTGGACAGAAATACAGCCAAAACATAACTTATTTTATTTTCAATATTTATTACCTAAACTTATTGACTCTGAGTACCTAGAAATATGGCAGCTCGAGAAAGAGTAATATGTAGCAATAAATTAAAATAAAAAAAAGTAATATGTAGCAATAAATTAAAAATAAACCTCAAGTTGTTACTTTTTTATTTATTCACCTACCTAATTAAGTGTAATCTCGACATCTTTTTAAGTTACAGTTCTTATTCAATAAAGCCTCTAAAATAAAAAGACTAAATACCTAATTAATAAAGTTATTCACATATATTAACTTTTTCATAAGAAGTATTATTTGTGTAGGTTTTCGATATTACTTTCAGGCCAGAGATGGCGAACCATTGGCACGCGTGGTATCGATGGTACGCGACACAATTTTTTGGGCACGCCACCTATCACAAATTTCACTATGAAGTATGAATTTTCACTAAGAAAATATTACGAACGAACGCGAGTCATCCTACGCTACTGAGTGCTCGGACATGATGCGCGGGGCGTAGGGTTGCCAGATGGTCGGGATTCGTCTGAATTCTAACGTTTTAAATTATCGCCAGACTCCCGACAAAACTCAGAATCTCCATGCAAACAGCTTCTCTTCACATCACAACTGCTTTTGATTTAATAAAAGCTGCATTAGTAATTAGACCGAACTTTGAAGTAAATTGTTTGAATTTTAGACCTTTTCTGAATACTAGTATCCAAATTGGTAGACAAGGTCCAATGCCAAATATAAATAGTACCATCCACGAAGACGCGCCCCGCTATTTTTCCTAATCGTTTACAGTATAAATGTGCAAGCTTCCGCTAATGTTTGAGTCATATAATACTATAATACACAATAGAATGGCTGTGAACTTTATTTTATAGGAAGATTGGCGTCGCCCGATTTCCCCGATTCACTGTGTTGACAGACTGAGCAAATTTACACATTTTAGGCTTTTGATTAATGTTCAAGATCATCATTAAATTTTAATACATATTTATTTGTAAATAGGGTGCAATTTGGCATTTTCTAAATAATTTGCATGCGAAATTTGGAAACGATTGTAACGTCAAAACACATCTCGTGTTGACATTTATACGTGTGAATTGACGTGTTAGTGACATTTTAGTGGCTACGCGGGCTCCGCCCACTCCCCCGTTCTATTATGTATATATTATAGTATTCTATGGTTTGAGTATTATCGGTACACACTGATTACCGATAGTGGACGCGCAAACTACAATGAACTACAATGAATAAACCTATCAGGAACTCCCGGCACCCCGCGATCCCCTCGACCAAAAATGGGTGGTGCGCGTCTTCGTGGATGGCACTATCTATACACGTGGCAAACGTAAACATTGAGTGTACTTAAATTAGTTATGTGTCAACAATGTTGTCTTTTTGTATTTTACATTTTTATTTTTAATATTTATTTCTCCTGACAACAACCCCAAATACCGACTTTTTGAAACTTAGTCCAGATATGTTGGTTTTAGATCTGGCATTCCTAGGTCACTATGGCGGGTGGGAAACCGGCTCGCTTGTTATTGTAGTAACATCGTGAACTACTAATGAATCGAACTATGCGTCTTTAGGAATGACGCATAGTTCGATTCATTAACATCATGTTTACAGCCCTTCACAAGTCCACGCCTCACACACACACATAGCAGTTTACACATAGCATAATAATCAATTTCGTTGACATAACTGTATTTAAAAGTTCAATTGTGTTATATTTACGATTTCACAACCCCAATATAAGTTATTTGTTATCTAATCTGCAACAACAAAAGTCACCCTAATGTTACTTTAATTTGAATTACGCGTATAACTGAAACACTCTCAACTCAAAAGTCTTTATTTATTTATTGTAGTAGAGTGATTAGTATATAGTATTTAGTACTACTATTAATACTCACGAATAATATAAATAATCATGAATAATCACGAAGTCAAAATCATTTTACGGCACGTCTATGACCTCATTAAACATTTCTTTAGATTAAAGGGATATAGTAGGTCAGCTCAAATTCTAATTTCGACCGCACTTCCCCGCGCGTCGTATGCTATGTACCGATATGTTTGTAATCACTAATACCGTAAGTAGAAAGGTCGTTAGACACTTATTTCATTAGGTTTATCATATTTATGCCTGTTTCTTAACGCCAAGCCAGTCGCTTCTTATTTTTATCACAGTTATTTCCCATTTTAATTTACGTCGTCCTGTTGCGTAATGTGTATTCTGATCGTAAGCGACACAACTTCTCGCTTCAAAAGCCTAAGCGATACTAACGGATAGTTTAGATAATTTCTTTTTACAGTGAAAATAATGGTATTTAAAAAAAAGTAAATAACATAAGCACTGCTTTATTAGTTCAGTTAGTATGCAAAGTTTCATGATCTTATTTAAAGTATTTTATGAATAACAGCGGTTTATTGTTCAGTTTGCAGGTAACTTTGGATTTTTTTCTATCGAGAAAATTTTACGCAATCGTGTTTTCGTCTAACATAGTCTTTAACATTAATCCTCAACTTTACCATATATTTATTTCAAAATTAATGCTGCAATACTTTCGGTATAACGGAGGATCTTTCTAAGCCATTTGGTTATATTTCCCCTTAATGGCACGTTGATACATAAAGGTTTGCCACCCCTGTTTGCGGCTATAATAATATCTTTTTTTATTTTTTAAACGTTACCCCCGCACTATTTTCTCGATCATCGTCAATATTCAATAGAATCTACAAATTAGACCTCCCAAATGATGTTTCTGGGAGTTTTGGTATAAAAATGCATGGGAAGAATGATTATACTAAATAAATAAATAAGTTATCTAAAATTTGCTATGAGTTTATTATAGTAGAGAAAACGAACTAATTCCTCTTAATAACGCTACATTAATAAATACCATCAAGGCAATGTTGGGGCGTGGTAACTAACTAGTAATTAATATAACTTTGTACTAACTACGAACAAGTGTATGGTAAGAAAGAATAATTTTTTTTCAAAGGTGGAGTAAGTGAAGACAGTTTTGAATTAATATGTCGCGACGGTTCACGCGCTCCTGTTACTGAATGGGAGAAATGCAATTGGGGCCGAATCCCGGCTGATGCCATCGTCACTAGCAGTGCTGCCACTCAGGAGCAGCGTAAACGGTAATGTACTGTACAAACTTACACACACTCACTCACTCTCTGCATTCTAGTATTACGTATTGTAATCATAGCCACAACTTGACGGGATGATTCCATAGTTTTTTTTATAGGATAGAGAGCAAACGAGCACGCAGTCCACCTGATGGTAATTGGTTGCTGTGGCCCATAGACATCTACATCTATCCTCGATTACGAATCAAAATGCAGTTGCGTTGTCATCCGTGAAGACTTAGGTGGAATGCCTCGTTTCCAGGGTTAAAAGGGTCTCCGGTTCTCTACAATCACCATACGAAACACAGCTGCATTAAGCTACTATTTTAAGCTGGTATTCTGTGAGAGCGTGGTCCTTCCCCGGTCGAGCCGACCCATTCGTGCTACAACTATACTACTAATATTACTAGCATGCCTCTACCACGTAAAAAGGTTGTTAAGGTTCATGGTTCCTCCAAATTTAAATAAAAACCCGTTTTTAAACAACAACCTCCCACAGGCACTTCCTAAGCGCCAGGGTTGTTAAAGAGTGATCTCAGCGAAGGAAACTATTGACAGTTTTAAAAATAAACTTGATAAATATATTACTGAAAAGAAAAGAAAAGGAATGAAGTAACTGGATGTGGCAATTTGCCACATCCAGTTACTTCAACTGCTTTACTGATAAAAAATTTATAATAGTAATAAAGAATCCCATAAGTACCTCATGGTATTGTTTGATACATAAAGTTTATTTTGTTCATATTTATCAATTAATTCTGCGCTAACCTAGAACACATTACTTGCAATTTGTTTAATCTTGAGTTGTCCGCCGTTCATTTTCAAACATACTTTCGACTTTCAATTGAAACAAAAATAGGAAACCTATATTTGTAATAAAGTGACAAATTAATTCGTTTGCAGTTACCAAAACCTTCTCCAGAAAATGGTGCAATTATATGGCGAACCTAACCCGTCTAACAAAAATCCAAATAATACTTTCGGGCACCAAAATCGCGATCAGTACGGCAATGCGTTCTCATCTACTGAACGCGATGCATTCGACGCGTATAGAAGAGACAGGTACAAGTTTGACAAGCAAGATGACTCTAATAGGTGAGTAATTAAGTAGAACTATACTGTAAATTGTTATCTTTTTTATATAGGTAAAGGGTGACTAACGAACTCGAACACACACTCCACCTGATAGTAAGTGGATGCTGTGGTCCATAGACATTTATATTTATCCTCAATTAAGAAATAAAATACAGATGCGTTGTCACCCCTGAGGACTGAGATAGAATTCCTCGTTTCCAGTAAAAAGGGTCTCCAGTTCTCTACGCTCACCACACATTGTGATTGGGATAAAACACTATTAATTGCCAGATACAGTTTTTTTTTAAAAAAGTGTTGTTGACTAAGATGCACACAGTCCACCTGATAGTAAGTGAAGTGAAGTGCATTGGCCCATTGACACCTACATTTGCTTGATCGTGAATATTTTTATTCAGATGCGTTGTCACCCCTAAGGACTGAGATCAAATGCCTTGCTACCATTTAAAAGGTACGCATCAATCACCATAGAAATACTGCATAATTAAAATTATTCTATAAGCATTGCCCTTCCCAAGTTGAGTCGACCCTTTTGTGCTACATCTGCAATGTGTACTACAGTAAATAAGAGTGTAATACTCTAATCAATTTTATATTATATTATTTCAGAGTTAGCACTCTTGCACCATTCCAGCGAAGACTTGACTACTCTGGACAGCCTATTGAGCTGCCTTTCCAGCTGTTCATATCTAACGAAACAACTGATTTGTTGCTACAGGTAAACTGATTTTGTAATGACTAATTTTGAAAGATTTACCTATACTAGTCACGGTGGCAAACATCTGCCATCTTTCTATGACATTTTGTTGTACGTTTTCGAATAGATATACACCGGCATTTGTCAATCGCATTGTGTGCAGGTAACATTTGACTTTTAAAATAACGTTTCAGTAAATATTATGTGATAGTATCACAATCTAAGCTATGGTTCGCACATGTGTAATAGTCGTCACACACAGTCAGTTCAACTAATCATTGTAACTGATCAGTTCAAACTAGGACTGTTGTTTTTTTTTAAATATCGTATTTTCGATATATCGATAAATAAAGTTATATATAAAACTCCGATATTGATATATTTATAATTATCGATATATCGAAAATCCGACATTTAAAAAAACAACAGTCCTTGTTTTCATCAGTTGGAAGGATCAGTTGAACGGACCGTGTGTGTCGTCCATAAGAGGCTGGTGATGGAAAGAAGTATCACCAGTGACACTTCTTCTTCATCACATGTTGTACGTAAGTCTCTCCCGTTACGGAGGATTTACCTTCATCACCACACTTAGCTAAAGTCAGTACTTGCAGTGCTCTCAGCTTTGACACTACCCTCTTCACTCACGGTCTGGATTATTCTACTTCGTGTCATTACGCTCTCTTACTGGGGAAACGAAATGAAATAATGTGGAGGAAATTCTTACGTCGTGATCACTTGGCATCAAATTATTTTAATCGGTAGTAATGATCACGTTTGATTGACTGATTGGTAACTGTCGTATCAAACACATTGAATTTATATTTGACACAAAAGTAAAAAGTATTATTAAAAATTAAAATATATTTCCATTTTTTTAATTTTTCCATTTCAAAGAAAGTAACATAAGAAAATATGAGAACTCCAAAAAAGGTTTCACTTGCAGTTATTTCTTGTACTGAGTAATATATAACTGACTACGAATGTCGCAATGTGCCGCGCAAAGATACTAATAGGATTAAGTTTAACAACAATGTCATTGTGTTATAACATCGACATGACTCGACATCATTTTTAATTTTAAAATTATATTTTTAAGGAAAATCATACCCATTTTCAGAGGGCTGGTTCTTTTCTCGCTTAAAAGCCTGTAAATTCTGCCCACACGCATTGTCAGTCAGCGCGGTTAGCGAGAAATCTCTCTGCTCGAAAAAACTTCAAAAATACTGAAAATGATATGATTTTACTTTTCATATCCTAAACAAATAGCGGCTTATAACCATTTTGTACCCCACATTCTGTGTATGTATAGAAATTAGGACAATTGAACGCAAAATCCATATAATGATAAATGGATGCCGTAGTCTATAGACACTTAAGGAGGTTTTATAGGACAAAGCGTCTTTGGAAATGGCAGAACATCTGCCTGGTCAGCTAGTATTATATTTTTCTTGTTTTTTAGGATGCCACAGTAAATTTCCGCATGCTAAAGGAAGATGAACAATCGGCGAAGCACATCCTCAACAATAAGTATGTTGGTGACCAAGCGGAGAAAGCTGTGCTCGGTGTCAGAGATTGTCCTATAAAAAGAGCTATATTATGTGTTACCAGTGACCCAGAGATGGATAAATGTATTAAAATGAGGGTGAGTTATTATGTTACATAATACCCCATTAAGAATTTTATCCACCACCACTAAACCCTACATTTTATCCACTAAACTGATACCTTTTTTGCACAATAATATAAAACATTAGTATTACATATTAGTATATAATGTTGTTGTGTCGTTTTAATTTAGAATTTGGTGGTCCACCTAAAATTTTATAGTACGAAAGTGACCAAATTATTATATAGAGTAATAATGTCCTTCAGACCGAATTTCGATCACGGCGGTCATTCTCCACAGAAACTAGTCATCTGTTCAGGACAGAATGCGCAAACACAGGTATACTCTATTCCTTCACTCTCATATTCTGATTGGCCCACAATCCGATATTACTGAAGAAAGTGGAGCTAGAGATGAGCCAACTTGGAAGAAATTCGACTCGAGTTGAAATTCACGTAACTCGAATTGAACTTGAGGTATGCAACTCAAATTGACAAGACGAAGCTATGTTACAAATTATTTATATATTTGTTCTTCTATCCAACTCTGTGTTGGGCACAGACCAATACAATGCTAGAGCATGTGTTAAGACAATTATCATTTCTAAACTTAATATGTAGGTATTGAAACAAAAACATATTTATGTACTATAGTATTTATAATTTAATATTAATATGTAGTTTTGGTCTTCATAAATAACATCACTATAACATAGGTTTATTATGTTAATAATTTAATTATCTTAAATTATTCGTAATTAGTTTATTGGTATTATTTTTTGAGTGTTTGTGCAAATGTTTGATTCCAGAAATATTATTAACGTGGATTTAAAGAGTAAAGTCTAAACATTCATCCATTACAGTCTATAAAAGTCTACCGCTAAACATAGGTCTATCCTGTAGAATGCTTTATAGGGTATTTTTTGCTATAGTTGGCATGCTTGGCGGGTGAGTTGCTAACTGCAGTTTTTATGTTTATTTTATATTGTTATCGGGAAGACACTGCTGCTCATCTCTTGGCTTGTTTTCTTGTTTATTTGTTGCTGTGTTTCTCTCGCTTCTTACGACACCCACGGGACGATAATGGGGTAGTGGATATTCGTACTCCGCTACTATATATAAAAAGAGTAAAGTGCAATAAGATAAATAGTAAGACCGGCTGCACGTTGAGCTAGTAGTGGTCACTAGAGTCTCAGTCAAGCTACTAGACTCGGTCACCAATCAGATCCACTAGTAACCAGCGTGGACGACTTCCGCAGCTTGTGTCTCGAACGCGGCCACTCGAACGCTCCGTTTACGTCGATGCTTAACAAAATGTATGAAAAATGTCCGCAACAGTAGTGGCCTTGCTGTGACCGTATTTTTTTTAATAGTATAAGTGACAAACGAGCACACAGTCCACCTGATGGTAAGTGGATACTGTGACCCATAGTCATTTACACTTTTCCCCAATTAAGAATCAAAATGCAGATGCATTTTCACCCCGAGGAATAAGATGGAATACCTCGTTTCCATTTCAAAATGTCTCCAGTTCTCTACAGTCATGATACGAAATACCGCATGACCTCACGCTACGCGTATTCTGTGCTCACGCGGCCCCGGTCGAGTTGAGCCATTCATGCTACAAGTATCATATAGCTGCAGCGTGGCTCTAGTACGTACACAAGTGTGACGTGGTACGGCGGTGCAGGTGGCGCTGAAGGCGGCGGTGCTGGCGCCGGCGCTGGCGTGCTGGCGCGGGCACAGCGCGCGGCACTGCGCGCGCGCTCTGGCGGACGGCACGGTGGACTTCGCGCTGCTGGACGCGGCAGACATGCTGCACGCCGCGCACCACCACCGCCTCGTGCCCTTCATGCAGGAGGTACTGCACACTCACAACTCAGCTTCGCAACTCTAGTACCACGCATCTCATTAAATTTTAACCGACTTTAAAAAAAAGGGAGGAGATTGTCAACGCGACTGTACTATTTTTTGTGGTAACACCTCAGAACTTTTTGTTGTTGTTGTTTTCTACTCAAAGATGCGTAACTAACGAAAGCACGTCGGTCAGCATTTGCGATATAAGGATGTATCCAAAAGACACCTTACGCTTGCGTTATCGACTCCGCATATTAGGATGAGAGGATTTTAACGCAACCTTAACTAAAAAGGAAATACCTCCGTCAAACTATTTATTCACACACGTCTCTCTAATCCTAGTTTGAAAAACAAAATTGTCCTTATCATAGAAAAATATGTAATATACTCCTACAAAATCCCCTTCATGAGTCAGTAACAACATCTGTGCAAACACACGTACACAATCGATGCTTTAGAAAACCATGTGAAAATCTTTCCCTATATGATGTCAAACCAATTACCTCATAACAATAATGAACAGCGGCATTAACAATGCAAACGTTACAGTATGGATCAAGCTTTCGAGCTATGTGTTATTTAGCCCATAATTAGAAAGATCTATCTTCAACAATGGATTCTATAAGATGGAGAAGAAGAGCACACGCTGACGTATATTTGATGGGCAGTGAAGAAGTTTGATTGAGATATTTAAAGTAGATATACTTATTTTTTAAATTGTTATACTTATTTTCCTTGCTTTATTATCCTCTCGTCCTGCTAGTGTAAAAATTACTAAACTGCATTAACCCTGAATAGACTCATTCATGTGTGGCAACTATAGTGAATATCCGTATGAAGGGAGGCCTATGTGGACTTTGCAATGAATAGATAAATGTGGGAAATCACTCATTAATAAGTCCATTCTTATAATAATTCCTAGGCATGTGTATTTACCATTTAAATGGCCCAAGAGCGTGCTTTATGGCTTATCTTGATGATGATAAAGAAATAAATATCAGAACTAATAAAATATACTAATATACGAATAAAGTGATTATTAGAGAATTTATTGTTTGAATATTAATTTATATATCTCTAGGTATACACGAACGGTCACAGCTGGTATTACGCGGTAGCAGTAGCAAAGGAACAAGACCCTGATACTGATTTAACGTACCTCCGTGGCAAAAACACATGCCATACCGGTATCGGTATGGCCGCCGGTTGGATCTATCCATTAGCGTATCTGCTATCCAATGGATGGATAAGGTAATCATTACCAGCAAATATACAAGGTGTAAGTATAAACACCGTTATCCCTAAAACCATATTTGGCTTTAATATAAAAATATTTATCCGAATTTAAAAAAAAAACGCTATTTTCTTTCATAAAATTTAAAAAAGTTTCTGTCCGACACCGTCCGTAAATTCATGGATACCCTATGCGCCCGAGTGACGTAATCACTGTAAAGATCACCGCGGCTACACATTAAGCTATGCAAAACCAACGGGTAGCTTCTGTGTTCTTTACTGGAATTTACTGTGCCTACGCGCCTAGGGTGAAATAATTTTCAGGAAAAATTGAGATATTACTGAAAAAAAATGTTGTTATTTTTCATTGAATTTACGTTCTATAAGTGAAACCAAACCACTGGTTTCAAGGATTACTGTGTTTACACTAACGCCCTAGTATTTATTTTCTAAGACATTTTTATAACAGTTACAATGGACTTAACAGTTCACTGGATGTTTGCTGGATATATTTTTTGTTGTTTTATAAAACGTTACCTCCGCACCAGGATTTTCTCCTATATCGCAAAAGCAGTTTACATACCTATATAAATTTCACAATGACAAACATCGAGACCCGGACGAATTATTTGTTTGCCATACAAATACTAGTGAAAGTGCGGGATTCCAACCTGCGGCCCTTACCCGCTGCAACTCCTTGCTAAGCCACTTCGCCATAAGCCGTCATATTATAAACCACAGGAAATCTCCATCCAACTTCAAACAAAGAGGACAATTAGTTGTCATCAATATGGACTAACAGCCTGGCCACGGGACATTCGCCGTAGCGTAAATTCGCGCGGCGCGAACGGCGAGGCGTCTAGTGACTATAACAAATGTATAGAAATGTATGGATCAAGCCACGCGTAGCGGCGAGTGGCGACGCGACCTGCGAAATTTACCGGGCGAATCGCGCGGGCGATTGGCGGCGCGGCGGGCGACTAAAACAAATGTATGAATCAGTACGGTGCAAGCCACGGAGTCGGGCGGCAGACGCGGCGAATAGTATAGGTAACAAAATATTTTAGCTGTTTTCGCCGCGAAAAATGCCGGGCCGACAAAAACAACTTAAAGTTCTATCCGCATTGACTTTTATCTCCAATTCTGTTTGAATATTAACAAGAATATAATCGCAGGTTTCGACACTCATTCTGGTATTTACTCGAAATTTTTTTCTAGATGCATTCTGTATTTGTTGTGGAATTCTCCATCTATAAACCGATTTCTTATTCAAATCATGTACTTCGCAATCTCTTCCAAGTATTATGTCTTGAATCAAAAAACAATTACTTTTTAATATCGAGATAACTTTGATAAAGACATTTCACTCTCGGCCTATCTGGTCGCGGCGGCAAACGTGACTGCCCGTGGCCCTCAAATCGCGCCGCGTGAATTGTCCGCCTGCCACTTCGCCGTTGGCGCCGCCGATCCCCGTGGCCAGGCCGTAAGATGGAATACCTTATATCCCGCAAATGTCAGTGTGCTAAAACCCACTACATCTACTGTGTAATAGTAATAATGTCCTCCAGACCGAATTTCGGCCACGGCGGCCTGCCTCAACGGAGGCTAGCCATCGGCGCAGGACAGGATTATAGTGCTCAAGTGAATGCGCAAGCGCAGGTGCACTCTCTATTCCTTCACTCTCATAATCCGATGGGACGGTAAACCGACACGACCGGAGAGAGATCAGGCGCAGGACCAACGGCTTTACGTGCTTTCCGAGGCACGGGGGTGATACACCGCCAACTACCTGACTCCGGGCAGCTACTGAGAATTTCTTGACAGAAAAACTCAATAATTGATTTTTTGGCCCGACCCGGGATTCGAAACCAGGACCTCACGATCAGCAGTCGCACCACTACAACCACTAGACCAACGAGGCAGTCTATATCTATATCTACTGTGTATGATAACGGCGAGTATCCGTGTGTGGCCAAAATCTGTGCTAAATACTCAGAATTGATGCACGATTTTAGATGCAGATAATTTGTAATATAATAAAATATTTATAAATGTAGATTATATAGATTGTATGTAGACTATATTTTATTTGAGTTATTTTATAATTTCAAACCTTAAAAAATCCATTTATTAAATCTTATCGTATTGACTACCTGCTGTTACGCACATCATTATGACTTTTTACGTGGTAGAGCCATGCTGCAGCTATATTAATTTTATAGTTGTATCACGAATGGCTCGGCTCTACCGGGGAAGACTACGCTCTCACAGAATACCAGCGTCAAATAGTAGCTTAATGCTGCTGTGTTTCGCACGGTGAGTGTAGAGAACCGGAGACCCTTTTTACTGGAAACGAGGCATTCCATTTTAGTCCTCAAGATTGACAACGCATCTTCATTTTGATTCGCAAACGAAGATAAATGTAGATGTATATGGGCCACAGCAACCACTTATCATCAGGTGGACTGTGTGCTCGCTTGTCAACCTTTTCCTATAAAAAAAAGACTGATTACAATGATTTATTACCCGCCGACTCAGTTGATAACGCGGGTACTTTAGACTTACTATTATTCAAACGATCGATTAAATTGTTTTCCAAATCAAGTGATGATGATTATCATATTATATTGCAAATATTCGTTTCGCAAACAATAAAAACTAATGGTTACGAAGGATATGAATACTAAGGTCTCGACAGACACACGACACATAAGCGAGTTGGATCCCATTTATAATCATCACATGTTGTATAACGATCCTGCGACTGTTTTCTAGATCTCGACAACAGTGTCACTTACCTCGTCCAATTATGAGTGTGAGTGCTCATTGAAATCGGTGTAGCCGTTCTTAAGGTGACACCGCGAAAAAATGCACCTCCTTTCATCGAATAGTATAGGACTATGACACCACTAACGAAAGTGGAATTTTGATATAGGTAAATTCATGTCTTTATCTTAAATTTGCTTGTTCAAAAACACGATTGTATAATTTTGACTCGATCATAATTATTTGCGAAAATACCTCTAAAAAATCACTATAGTTGACATTACAACGAAATCACTTAATCTATATCCTTGGGAATCACTCAAATATATTCATAACATCAATATTCATAATTTACTTGCTCATTATTTTGATTACTTAAATCAATAATTTTTTTAAAATTATTTTAAGATTCTGACAATTCCTAAGCGGTTTAATCGTCGCGGGCACTACGCAATTTTAGACCTTATGACGGCGTTTTTTCAAGTTTTTAAAGAAACTATGTATTCACTCGGATCAGTAGGGCGATAGCCCGTAGCCACTTTTTCAATGTGTCGTCTTAAGTGATGATCTTTCGTACATGTGGCAATTGATTTTTATTTATATAGATTTAACCACTTGCTTAGCGGAAAATAAAACAATCAAATATATTCAACAAAGTTTTATCTGTTTCGATTAAAAAATTTGCAATGATAACGTTAAGGCAGGATTTTGCTAATGCCGTGTAGCAGCGACGTAAACGAATCCACTATCTCTTACCGAATAATATATATTATTACTCAGAAACTCCAAGACCCCACATCACCCCGTGAGTATCGTAAAAGACGACATAGGGAAATGAAACAGGAGATCTGTATTTTTGTAAGGCCACACACTTTTAAGAAGTTGTAGTTAGTTGATGAGCACGTGAAAAGGAAAAGATCACCTAAGTTAAAAGTTTAATTAAAAGTAAAATAATTATAAAGTTTAGAGTGGCAGATCTTTCCTTGAGTAGTTGGTGTTGAGAAGGACGGTTGTTGACGTACTGCCGATTGTCAGTTTGCAATTAAATAATTAAATTTAAATACACGCGACGCCTGGCTAAAAGTAGATTGCAACATTTACTAAATAAAAATGTGTGGTGTAACCATACAAGATCAGCAGGCAACAGCATCTTCCTGATAACAACTCAGATAAGAATTGCTAAGAGAGTGAACTATGGTAAATACTCCCCCTACGTTCAGTAGTGGATTTTTGGTAAGTTGTAATTATAGAATAAAAGATGGATAATATCTTGAGGGAGCAGGAATTGGAATATTGCTAGTTGTGATCAAGCAACAAAAGAGAAGGCAGACCGCGGTCGTATCGCTGTTATATTACTATCGTAGAAGTACCCTCTGTGAACGTTCCGTGATGTAAACCCAGTGTCGATTAAACAAACAGTTATTATTACCTGTGAAACACGTAATAAATCTTTAAATGAGTTAAACGAACCGGGTTAGTAAAAATCTTTAATTTTATTTAGTCATCGATTAATAGCTAATAGCACGATAAAGGTATCTATGGAATGGAGCAACGACCTTGTTAAAGAAAGAAGGTGAGAATAATATAGCTATCTCATTTTGTACCATGTTAAACGTCATATGTATAAAGAGTTCAGGTATAAGAATTTTGTTCTTGTTTTATAATTACTCTGCAGGTGGCACTCTCTGCTTTCTGTCACCATTTTGTTCCTAAAAACTATATCTAGGGTATATATACACATATGTATGCGCACATATGTGTATATATAACCTACCCTTAAACCGTGTAGTGGTAGAGTAGTAAAAGGTAAGAATATAAAATCACGTCGTGTATGTGCAGGCCGTACGGGTGCGACGGCGCACAGGCAGCAGCGCAGTACTTCAGCAAGGCGTGCGCGCCAGGAGCGCTCAGCACCGAGTACGTGGACGCGGACACCGTGCCACACGACAACCTCTGCCACCTCTGCCATGGCGCCTCCTTCAGGTACACACGCAAGCACAAGCAGGCGGCAGCGCAGTTCTTCAGCAAGGCGTGCGCGCCCGGAGCGCTCAGCACCGAGCACGTGGACGCGGACACCGTGCCACACGACAACCTCTGCCACCTCTGCCATGGCGCCTCCTTCAGGTACACACCCAAGCACAGGAAGGCGGCAGCCCAGTACTTCAGCAAGGCGTGCGCGCCCGGCAGGAGCGCTCAGCACCAAGTACGTGGACGCGGACACCGTGCCACACGACAACCTCTGCCACCACTGCCATGGCGCCTCCTTCAGGTACACACGCAAGCACAAGCAGGCGGCAGCCCAGTTCTTCAGCAAGGCGTGCGCGCCCGGAGCGCTCAGCACCGAGTACGTGGACGCGGACACCGTGCCACACGACAACCTCTGCCACCTCTGCCATGGCGCCTCCTTCAGGTACACACGCAAGCACAAGCAGGCGGCAGCCCAGTACTTCAGCAAGGCGTGCGCGCCCGGAGCGCTCAGCACCGAGTACGTGGACGCGGACACCGTGCCACACGACAACCTCTGCCACCTCTGCCATGGCGCCTCCTTCAGGTACACACGCAAGCACAAGCAGGCGGCAGCCCAGTTCTTCAGCAAGGCGTGCGCGGCAGGAGCGCTCAGCACCGAGTACGTGGACGCGGACACCGTGCCACACGACAACCTCTGCCACCTCTGCCATGGCGCCTCCTTCAGGTACACACGCAAGCACAAGCAGGCGGCAGCGCAGTACTTCAGCAAGGCGTACGCGCCCGGAGCGCTCAGCACCGAGTACGTGGACGCGGACACCGTGCCACACGACAACCTCTGCCACCTCTGCCATGGCGCCTCCTTCAGGTACACACGCAAGCACAAGCAGGCGGCAGCCCAGTTCTTCAGCAAGGCGTGCGCGCCTGGAGCGCTCAGCATCGAGTACGTGGACGCAGACACCGTGCCACACGACAACCTCTGCCACCTCTGCCATGGCGCCTCCTTCAGGTACACACGCAAGCACAGGCAGGCGGCAGCGCAGTACTTCAGCAAGACGTGCGCGCCCGGAGCGCTCAGCACCGAGTACGTGGACGCGGACACCGTGCCACACGACAACCTGTGCCACCTCTGCCATGGCGCCTCCTTCAGGTACACACTCAAGCACACGGAGGCGGCAGCGCAGTACTTCAGCAAGGCGTGCGCGCCAGGAGCGCTCAGCACCGAGTACGTGGACGCGGACACCGTGCCACACGACAACCTCTGCCACCTCTGCCATGGCGCCTCCTTCAGGTACACACACAAGCACAAGTAGGCGGCAGCGCAGTACTTCAGCAAGGCGTGCGCGCCAGGAGCGCTCAGGACCGAGTACGTGGACGCGGACACCGTGCCACACGACAACCTCTGCCACCTTTGCCATGGCGCCTCCTTCAGGTACACACACAAGCACAATACTTGTAACATTTAACGCACTCTGTAATCACCACTAACAAACCTTTATTTTTTTGTTTTACATTACCTCCACACTTGTACTTGTTCAGTCATTCATAAGCCACTGCACCATGGAACCGTCAATTTCATAACAAAATATTTACTAAATATTTGCTTGGCTTTAGCTTTTACGAGCTGTTGGAGAAAATAGTTTTAATTTATTTTCGTCCATAGACGCTGCCGTCGCGACGCGAGTGAGGATTACTACGGGCACGTGGGAGCATTACGTTGCATGGTGGAGGGTGGCGGCGATGTAGCGTTCGTGCGACACAGTGCGCCCGCGGAGGTGTCGGGAGGCCGGCGCCGCGAGTGGTGGGCGCGGGACCTGCTGCCCGACGACTGGCAGTTGCTCTGTCCCGACGGTGAGCACTACACTATAGGCCGCGAGTGGTGGGCGTGAGACCTGCTGCCCGACGACTTGCAGCTGCTCTGTCCCGACGGTGAGCACTACGCTATAGGCCACGAGTGGTGGGCGTGGGACCTGCTGCCCGACGACTGGCAGTTGCTCTGTCCCGACGGTGAGCACTACACTATAGGCCGCGAGTGGTGGGCGTGGGACCTGCTGCCCGACGACTTGCAGCTGCTCTGTCCCGACGGTGAGCACTACACTATAGGCCGCGAGTGGTGGGCGTGGGACCTGCTGCCCGACGACTTGCAGCTGCTCTGTCCCGACGGTGAGCACTACACTATAGGCCGCGAGTGGTGGGCGTGGGACCTGCTGTCCGACGACTTGCAGTTGCTCTGTACCGACGGTGAGCACTACACTATAGGCCGCGAGTGGTGGGCGTGGGACCTGCTGCCCGACGACTTGCAGCTGCTCTGTCCCGACGGTGAGCACTACACTATAGGCCGCGAGTGGTGGGCGTGGGACCTGCTGCCCGACGACTTGCAGCTGCTCTGTCCCGACGGTGAGCACTACACACTATAGGCCGCGAGTGGTGGGCGTGGGACCTGCTGCCCGACGACTTGCAGCTGCTCTGTCCCGACGGTGAGCACTACACACTATAGGCCGCGAGTGGTAGGCGTGGGACCTGCTGCCCGACGACTTGCAGCTGCTCTGTCCCGACGGTGAGCACTACACTATAGGCCGCGAGTGGTGGGCGTGGGACCTGCTGCCCGACGACTTGCAACTGCTCTGTCCCGACGGTGAGCACTACACTATAGGCCGCGAGTGGTGGGCATGGGACCTGCTGCCCGACGACTTGCAGCTGCTCTGTCCCGACGGTGAGCACTACACTATAGGACGCGAGTGGTGGGCGTGGGACCTGCTGTCCGACGACTTGCAGTTTCTCTGTCCCAACAGTGAGCACTACACTATAGACCGCAAGTGGTGGGCGTGGGACCTGCTGTCCGACGACTTGCAGCTGCTCTGTCCCAACGGTAAGCACTACACTATAGACCGCAAGTGGTGGGCGTTGAACCCACTCTCAAAGTCGACTCACAAAACATAGCACGAACTTAGATCACAAAGAAAAGATAAAGAAAGAAGCAATATGTGTGCATAAATGTCAAGAAATAGAGCATAGTTTCGGCATCAATTGAAATGTATAATATAGCCGGAGTTATCTTTTTTTGTTGTTCTGAGAGAATACCAGATAAATGCACAATGATGGACATTTTACGGTGCGACCACACGGCGAAATTTAAAATATAGAATTTATTTTTATGCAGAATTTATTATTGTTTATAGGTACACGCGCTAAAATGCATGAATATGAGCACTGTAACCTTGGCAAGGTTCCTGGATCAGTTTTAATGGGAAGAGCTAACCACACCGAGCTGGATACATTTTCCAATCTAATGGTTTACGCGCAGCAGCTTTACGGTGCAGCTACTTCAGATGATTTTAGGTAAATTATTCTACTACGTTTGTTTTTTGTTTATTCATATTCATATTCATTTATTGATAAAATATAAGCTTACAGTATATACAACCAAATCGCTTATATCTATACTAAATTTACAAAATAAGATAAAATACACAAGAAAAAAAATTACCAATAATTAAATATTACCATACACAATATATATAATAAATTACAGCCACATCAGTATAATGAGATCTATTTACTTTATCATATTAAACTTAATTACCAAAACATATTCTATTCTATCTTACAAAGTTGTTTAAGAATATTGAACATTGCGCTGAGTTTGTATACAATATGTAACAAAAACCCTGTGATTCCCGTTAACTGCGTTAACAGAATCAGTATCCAAGCGTATAGAATTTTTTTTCTTCAAAAAACATTTAAAAAAATATTTTTTTTTTAAAAATTACTTTGCAAATTATATGTGGTTTTATTTCCTGTAACTCACACGAGTATCGGTAATGCGGGGTCTTTGACAATCCTCTTACTCCTCGGCCCATGCTGAGATAATAAAACCGCACAATTTGCAAATTTTTTTTTTTATTAAAATTATTTTTTTAAACGTTTTTTTTTTTTTTTAAAAAATTATTTCTCTATGCTTGGATACTAATTCTGATAACGCAGTTAACGGGAACCACAGGGTTTTTGTTACATTTTGTATATTGCTTATTTTTATGTAACCCGGCGTCTATAAATGATTGCGTATCATTTATTGATCATATTCACATAATATATTTGTTTTATCGACGTTAATTTCATATCTGTGCTAGAATTCAATAGGTGGTGCTGTAATTATTTTAAGTTGACAATTCGTTGAAAAATATTTTTTCAATTAAATTAATCAAAAAAGATTAATTAAAAAATTAAAAAAAAATTACAACTTTGTCACTGCTTCCTGTCCCATGTCTGAGTATTTTACGTCTTAAGTTAACAATATAACTGTGAAGTTGCTATAAGAGGCAACGGCGTATTCCTAATCATCATCATCATTATAACCCTTCGCAAGTCCGATGCTGAATATAGGCCTCCCCAAGGAATACCACAAAGCACGGTCCTAAGCCGCCTGCATCCATCGACTTCCTGCATGTCTTATTAGGTCGTCACTCCATCTAATGCGTTGCCCGCCCTACACTTCATCTATCGGTACGAGGCTGCCACTTGGAAACCTTTCTTCCCCATCAGTTGTCGGTTCTTCGAGCTTATGCCCGGCTCATTGCGACTTTTTTATAGAAGAGGGGGCAAACGAGCATGCGACTCACCTGATGTTAAGTGACTATGTAGCCGTGGTAGGAAAAAGGGAGATCTCCCACCGGGCAAGGTGTTCTGCCCGGGCAGCGGCCAACTCTCCGTGTGATAGTTCGGAGATGTTCTATATATACTGTTTATGATTCGGAATGTTGATAGCGTGATTTAGGCTTCGGTGTATTTCACTTGTGGCGGCGACGACAGGGCCGCCACAACTACCGCCGCCCATGATCAACCCAACACCGGGGGAATTGCAGGTGCGTTGCCGGCCTTTTAGAATGGAGTAAGCTCTTTTCTTGAAGATCCCTAAGTCGTATCGGGCCATGGTAAACGATTGCACAAGACAGTCGTACGCGGAAGAAAACTCTTAGTGAAACGTACAGTGGTGGACCGCAAAGCATCCAGATGCTGTGGATGGTATCGCGAGTTTTGTCACGATGTGCATTCGTGAAATTTCACGGCTGGGTTTTAATCCGAACAATTCCCTAGATTATTCCCCGTGGTAGATGCGATATAAAATGCAAAAGGATGCAACATCTCTTCGCAGCGCCAGTAAATCAAACCGATCTGAGAGAACTCGGTCGCCGCGATTCGTGCTGCCCTGCGCTGGATGCGGTCAAGTGACAAGAGCTGGCACTGGGGAGCCCCGGCCCAGAGATGGGAAATACTGTCCCGCTCTGTTGAGCCTACTCGGAAGCTCACATAGGGGGAGGGGTGCTTTGCGAACCGAGCGCTGTGTAAATCGCACATTCGACATGGAGCACTGCAGATGGTCAGCCGTGTGATCTCCTTTGCGGCATGAGCCAGTGAGTCGTTCTCCCTGTGCAGAGATGGGAGAGATGGCTGACAGAAGTTTCCTTGGACAGCCTGCACCAGAATGCACGGATTTCCGAACGAAGGCGAACTGGTTT